CCAGTTTTTAGACATAAAACGGCATAATTAACACGCATTTATAAAAAAAACCACAAAATTCATTAGTAATGAATTATAAATGATTTTTTAGTGAAATAATAAATGTAGACTACAAAAAAAATCTTCAGGAAGTAGACTGCGGATGCAGTCTACACTTATGCTAATCAAACAAGAAAATTAAGTTTAAGATTATCTATTACACATATACATGTCAAACTTATACAAATAAAAACACCATAATTAACATACATTTAGAAAAACCAAAAACCTCAAAATTCATTACTAATGAACTATAAATGCATTATTAGTGGAATCATAAATGTAGACTACAAAAGAAGTCTACAGCACGCAGGCTTCTTCAGAATTCTACATATATGAGCTAGATACCAATCAAACAAGAAAATTAATTTATAAAATATATATTATACACATACATATCACATTTTTAGACATAAAAACGGCATAATTAATACGCATTTAGAAAAAACAAAAAACACAAAATTTATTATTAATGAATTATAAATGAATTATTAGTGAAATAGCAAATGTAGACTACAAAAGAAGTCTAAATTATGTAGACTTCAGGTGTAGACTTCGTCTGACATGTCGGGTTAGTTTTACAATTAAGGTATATTCACGTAGATTTCTTTTGCAGTCTACACAACAATTTGAGTTACTTTTACAATTTACCGAAACTTTGACTTTTTGAGTGTAGACTTCGTTTTCAGTCTACAAAAGCAATTAGGCTAGTTTTGCAATTGACCTCAGTTTGACTTTTTGGAGTAGACTTCTTTTGTAATCTACACAAATACGCGGAAAATCGTTTTTCAAAGTAGACTTCTTTTGAAGTCTACAATCATAAGTAGACTTCATTTGTAGACTTCGTCTAACGTGTTAGGTTAGATTTGCAATTGACTAAAGTTTGACTTCGTGTGTAGACTGCAAAAGAAGTCTACTCTGAATAAAGAGGTTAGTTTTGTGTTTGACCAAAATCTCGATTTAATTAAATAGTAGATTGCAAAAGAAGACTACTACTGAAGTAGACTTCTTTTGCTGTCTACATAGATATTTATCCGTGGTCAAATTTTCCAGATTTTAGTCAAACCACAAAACTAACATCTTGCTTTCAACGTACTTCTTTTGAAGTCTACTATAAAAGTCAAAGTTCAGTCAAATGCAAAACGGACCTTAATTTTCGACAAAGTAGACTTCATATGAAGTCTACGGCCAGTAGACTTCTTGTGAAGTCTGCACTAAAAATTCAAATTTTTGGTCAAATGCAAAACTAACCTCCGTTAAAGTATACTTCATATGAAGTCTACATACGGTTTTTTTGTTTCCAAAGGAAAACGCGTAAACTTCAGATGAAGTCTACTTTGGATATTTTCAAAAATGGTCAATTGCAAATCTAACCTATCCGTTGACTAGTAGGCTTCAAAAGAAGTCTACTTTCGCGAAGCAGATCTGAAAACAGACTAAAATCGAGTAAATTTACTTTTTTCGTCGTTGAAGCTCGTTTTAAGCTTCGGCGACCACCTTAAACTTCGAATCTCACATGTAACAACAAAGCCCAGATGCCGTTAAGCAAGAACCACAAGAAATTATGAGGTTATAAGAGAAAGAATATTGAAAATGAAAATTAGAGAGGTTTTTAGATGGAATTGGAGAGAAAATGAAAGATTAAGAGGTTATGAACTCAAATATTTAGCATTTAGATCTCAAAAATTAGTTGGAGAAGCATTTAGAGCTTCAAATTGGTTGTTCATGGTGGTTGAGAATATTGATGAATATTGCATTTTCGTGAATTCGTTGGTTTTTTATGGTTAATTGTGTCTTTTTGCTAATTTCATAACTAAAAAAAAATCTGATTATAATGGTATTTTCGTGAATATGTGAAGTTGGTAGGGAAATTTTCGTGAATATGTTTGTGAGAAAGTGGCAAACTATGAGAAGGGAAAAAAAGTGGGTTATTTTTGCATTTAACCCCAATTTTTGGGTTATTTGTGAAACAATCCTATTATTTAATGTTTCGATTGGTATAATAATTTCTATACTAAATTATCCGAACCGAACTCTGATTATACAAAATCGAATTGAACTAACCGAAATTGTTAGATTTGTTGTTAGAATATATTATAATTTTTAGTTGTTCACACATGTTTTTAAAAGCCAAAAAGCAAATAACATATTTATCTTAAACATGTAGAATTTTTTAGAATATATATTTATTTAATCAATAATTGTTTTTGGTAAGTTTGAGAATATTCAAATGTGTTTGGCAATTGGAATTAGAGAAATATCTAGAAATACTTGTGTTTGGTAATGAGTATAGAATAATT